AGACGGGGGCCCTCATCACGGTCAACGGCGTCGAGGAGAACGTCAAGGTCGTCGAGGCCAGGGACGTCTTTCCCCCCTTCCGGCTGTCGGTCGATGTCCCTCGAGCAATCTTGACCACCCTGATTGCCGCCATGGCATATTTGCTGTACGTCCAATGACCTCTTTTCTCTCTCTTTCCTCTTACTAACTGTCTGAATCAGCATGTTGGCCGTCATGACCATGAACGTGGGCTACTTTCTCTCCGTGCTTCTGGGAGTCCTTCTCGGCGAGCTAGCCGTCGGTAGATTCGCCCGGAACGACGAAAACTTTCACTGAGATACACGACCTTTTTCTTGGTTGTTGGTTTTTTATATTTTACTCCAAATGCTGCGGAACTTGGCCGAGTGTCTGCCTTGCCTCACGCGCACACACAGATGTTCAAGGTTGTTTTGACGCACAGCTTTTGTTATCGCTGTCATGAAAGAAAGAGAGCATGTCCTTTTTTACAGCCTTTCAAGCGACTTTTGTGGGTTATGGCGCAGGGAACAGGTCTATAGAGTACATTTTATAGGCGTCTTGGGGATGTGCTTCCGAGATGAAAATGCAGTGATGATGACTACCTCGTACATGGTCTTGATATTCTTTCCATGGACCGTAGTTTCTTCGGGTAGTGTAGGTGGTAAACGGACTCAATGTTCCGTTATTTACTTTACCCAGCACACATTTTGAATGCGTCCAGCTTGACATCCCATCTTTCATCTGTGAATTCTTGATCTACCCGACTATTCATCAGGGCGGTTCTGGTTTTGGTCTAAAATGGTTCGATTCCGTGCAGACTTGACAAGCTGACAGATTGTCCTCTAGTCCCCTTACCATATCATCAGCTGGTAGTGGAGGCGTTGACGACCGCCATTACTGAGATCCCTGATCATGCACTGCTTTTTGGCTCTGTAACGGGATGTCGCTGACCTTGGTCACGCCCTATAAGTGCCGCGAGGGAAGTGTACGAGGTCGACATTTCCGAGTCACCCAAAGCAACGCGTTCAGCCCTTTAGGGGAGCTTGGTGCAAACTCTGGGGTTCTCCTCATCATCATCCACTCGCTTTGTCGGATCGATCCTCACGGCCACGTCTCAACCCTGTTCCACTCCCCTATTGATTCACTTGGCTGGGGACCGCCAGGACCGCCTCCCTCCTCGGCCAACGTCCAGATCTGTCTCGTGGACTTTGTCGGATCCGTCAAGTCGACTGCCTCGACCTGCTCGGGCGTGATGATGGCGACGCGGAAGTTCTTCCTCGCCAGCGTCTCCTCGGAGAGGTGGCCTGCCTTCTGGCCCAGCGCTTCGCCCGCCGCCTCATCTCGACCTTGCGACAAGAGCTGGCCCGGCGGCGGGTTCTTGAACGAGCCCCTCATGACCGGGGACATGTTTTCAAAGTAATTCTCCACCTCGCGTCGCCAGGACCAGTCGTTGATCCTTTCTTGCGCGTCGTGGTCGTCGGATCCCTCACGAACGCGCATGTATCGCCCTACCTCGGCCTTGAGGGACACGGTGCCCGAATTCTGAGCCTCGGGCGTGCCGCCTTCCACGTCGTCGGCCGCGACCAGCCAGCATTTACCCCGGATGCGCCACTGCGTCCGCGTCTCTTTGACCCAGTAGACGGCCTCGACGGGACCGCCCCCGCCAGACCCGGAGCGAGACTGCGCGAGGGTTCCCTTGCCCTTGCCCGTGGCGAACAGCTCGTACGTCTTGCTCATGCGCGCGTCGGTCGTGAACGTGGGACAGTCGGACTCGTAGACGGGCGGGTTCTTGGGGAGTTTGTTGTGCTCGTTCTCCGGCAGCGTGGCCCAGAAGCCGCGGAAGATGCACGTCCGCGCCCGCGGCAGCCCGGAATCTGTCACCGTCGCGAGGGTGAACTCGAACCCAGCGCCGCCCGCCCGTTCGAGGTGTTCCTGGAACGTCCGTTTCCACGGCGCGACGGTCGAAGGCGTGGGGTGCGACATGGTCGAGGCGAAGCGGGCGAGCCGATGCACAACAACACAGTGAGAGGCCAGCTTTCAATCGCGAGAGCGGATGGGAGGTATTGGGAAGAGGAGAAGGACGAGGTAAGGCCAAATCCGATCGAGGCGCTTGGTCGCTGCTATATTTCTTTTCTTCTTTTCCACATTATCGTGGTCCATGACGCGCTCATTGGACTTGAAACCATCGTCAGGTCTGCATGACGTCGACTACGGAGGCCCTCGAGTTTCCCCACTAGCCCCTAATAAGTGGCCACTGGAGCTACGCCTAAATACGGGGCGCCCAGCAGGAGTTAATGGCTACCTACTACTGGTACCTAGGCACTCAATCCATATCTACCAGGTACTTGCGTCGGGAGGTCTAACTCAACCACTGCCTTTCTTCCGGGTGCCCCTGGTTGGAGGATGTGCACAATCCCGGTACCTGAGAATTGCATTTGGGTATCCATGTGTCCACTTACTACACAGCCACGGGCCTATATAGAGGGAGTCGTCATTCACTAAGCTCTCTATCACCGTTACAAGCCTCCAAAACTTCGAAACTGTGTCCTCATATTGGCATCGTCCGCCGTTCCAATGTCGTCCCGGCGATTCGTGGGACGGCGTAGGTGGATAGATTAATGGCTGTACTGTCAGAGAGACACAGGCAGTGAAAATTAGGGGTGGAATAGGCATTGGGTTCTGCGGCAGACGCAGCATAAACTCGAGTTCGGGTTGGGAACCACGTATTCAATCTCATTGCAAGCGTGCCCCGGAAGGAGAGTACTCCTTGATCATGTTGGTGCTTTCGTCAATGGCCACGAGGGTCAAGGGGGCGTTTCCAGTACTCTTCTTTCTTCTGAGGCTCTGTCCCGGGTCATTTCCGCACCAACAAGATTCGATGAACGGGTGATAGTGTTTGTAACCGATCAAAACGACGACGTATCCACTCCTCAGTTCAAGGGATCACAGAAGTCTTACCCTGTGCATTACTGAAAGTCCTTCAGTTCTCCTTTCGGTAGCACTTTTTCGTGCGCTCCTCTCTCACTGAATGTCCTCTTCCAACACCAGGCCTCGTCCCTTTCTTGCCCATTCGACCTACCGTTCAGCACGTTGACGACGTACTTTCCAATGTTGGGCAGAAATTTCCAGCTGTGAAACGACCCAGCAGTGGCAAAGTAGAGGTTCGACAGTCGCGGATCAGGATGCTGCGCAATCAGCTGGTTTTGATCCGGCGATATGGCGTCCCAACAAAGGCGCCATTCATCAGGCACTCTACCCCCGTCAAGGATTTGTGGGACGCGCTGGCGGATGATTTCTATGGATTGGCGTTTGAGCAAGTCCGGGACAGAGTGTTGATCAGGAGCTGGGACCGAGATATTCTGGCCAGTCTCCGAATGAGGTTGAGTGTTGAGAAAAGTGTTGGCATTTGTAAATTTAAAGAAGCCCTGGTCATTCGGTGGCATCGCCTCGCCTTTTGCGCCAAAGATCAAGACTGGCATCTGCGAGTAATGCCGGGCTTCTTCTTCCGACACCTTGAATGCTGCCACGCATACTCCTGCCGCCTCGACTTGTCTTGTGATGCTGATTTCTGAGGAAATAGCCATTTTCTTTTCCAGTGGTGCCATCAGCCACGGCGTCCATGCTCCTGTGGCCAGAACAATCTTTTCACCGGTAAATGTGCGCCCGTCAGTCGTGCGGACACCAGTCAGCTTATCACCATCGCTGAGCAGCTCATTCACTTCTCCTACCTCGTGCTTGACACCGGCTTTGACGGCTTCCTCCATAGTGGCCGCGACGGCGGAAGAAGCATCTGCCCAACCGGCGCTGGAATTCGTGTAAGCCTTGCTGTGTTCACTGGTGTCTATTCCAGAGAGTACACCTCCCCAGTTCGACTTGACTTCCTCGAGAGAGATATCCGCAGATGTATCAGGACGACCACTTTCTCGAAAGTTCTTTCGAATCCGGTCCGCCAGATCGCTGCCCTTCTCGTCCAACATCACCCATCCCGTCTGATGGAAGTGCGGCTTCATCACTGGATGCTGTATCCAAGACTCCATAGCCTCGTAAGCCAAGTCCATGTAAAACGCCTTGCTGTAATCCGCACGAACGATCTTGTTGATATCCGAGGACGCAGCCAAGGGCGAGGGTACGGAGGCGCGATCCAAGACTGTGATGCGTGATGGATCTGCATGACTCAGTGCGAGATGGTATGCTGTGCTGGTGCCAAAGATCCCTGCCCCAATAATCAGGACACTGCAGTCCGGAGGGTCAATGGAGCCCATTATGGTCCGGCTGTAGAGGGTGGATAAGCGAAGCTGACAGACTGGCCTCGTTGTATACGTGATTCGGCGGAGTTTTCAGTATTGACGAGCGACTTTCTTGTGATAGGAAAGGGATGAGAACGAGGCCCTTTTGGGTGCCTTTCGTCAGAGGAAGTGCTGATATCAGACGTGAAGATTGATGGATGGATGCCATTGGATCTCCCAGACACGACGGTGTCCCTCTCTGGTGGAAACAGGCACTAATGAGGTCCTTTGTCATCCGATCGGCGCCCAATTGATCCATCCCCGGTGTCCAGAGAAATGCCTAGGCGCCCTCCCACTTCCCGTGCCAGCCACCCTCAACCGAGACCTGACCCCGCGCTGAAATGCCGTGTCAGTGCGCGTCCACTTATTTTACGAGTGGGAACTCCAAACCCATTAGTGGCACAGCATTCACTCTACCAGATCCTCCAAGGCCTCCTCAAAATGCGTTGAAAGCATCCACAGTAACCTCGGTATCTTGATGACATGAGTGTCGCTTGGAGACAGCATGGGTGACGATTCGGGCGCCGTCCGTAGTCTGTTAAGGATGGATCTTTCTTTTCTCCCTCTATCTTCAATGGCTCCCTAAGCTGCATCAGATTAACGGCGGATATTTTAGACAACTGGTGTTCTTTGCGTTCTTGGATGTATTGATCGTGACCGGCACTACGTTGACCAAATTAGACAGGTGCTGGGGGATCTTGCACATAGAACTAACCCATGGCTCTTGGTAAGACTCTGCTCTCTTTCTTCGAACCATGCGACGACGTTCTTCGAAGCTGACTCCGTTCTTCTCGCAGCAACTGCTGCAGCCGCTGCAGCCGGTGGATGGGCCGCAGCGGCCTACCTCGATGCCAAGTTCCATATTCGAAAGGACCTGGATGTCCTCCGCAGGCTGAGACAGGGTGCGAAAGAGTATGCACAGCTTGTCAAGGAGGACAAAGTCTGCTTCTTCTACGCTTTTGAAGAGCAATGCAAAAAGAGCTGGAACAATCGCGCTCTCTGGTCGAGAGAAGGGGGCATCTACACCTTTGGTCAGTTTTACGAGGAGGTCCTCCGATATGCGCAGTGGCTGCTCGAGGAGGGTATCAAGCCTGGCGAATTGGTGGCCATGTACATGATCAATTCGCCGCATTTCTTTGTGACCTGGTTCGCTTGCTCGGCTGTCGGTGCGGCGCCAGCATTCATCAACTACAATCTCGAGGGGAAAGCGTTGATGCACTGCTTGGATGTGTGTGAGACAAGACTCTTGATTGTCGACGCAGACGCAGCCTGCCAGAGGAGGATCAATCAGAGTCGGGGAGACATTGAAGCCAGAGGCACCAAAATCGCGGTTCTCGACAACACTTTAAAGCAGAAGATTGCAGCGAAACCCGCCCAGAGACCGGCCGATGACCTTCGCAAGGGCACGAAAGGCAGCTTCCCTTATTGCCTGATCTATACCAGGTGAGTCATGTCCACTGCTCTCTATCTCCCAGACACAAGGACTAACAAGTTGTCACAGCGGAACCACAGGTCTTCCCAAAGGTTGTGCATTCACACTGCAACGGGTATACATGGCGTGTGGTCACTCGATGCCGCTCTGTGGAGGCATCCCTGGCAAGGACCACTGGTTCAATTCCATGCCGTTATATCATGGCACAGGGTCAATCACAACCTCGTGTGCCCTGCTACAGGGTCTGGGGGTTGCTCTCGCACCGAAATTCTCCGTGTCACGGTTCTGGAACGACATTCATGACTCCGGGTCTACATTCTTTGTGTATGTTGGTGAAACAGCACGATATCTGCTCAACGCGCCACCCCACCCGCTGGAGCGAGCACACAAGCTCCGATGTGCCTACGGCAATGGCCTGAGACCTGATGTGTGGGAAAAGTTCCAAACACGCTTCAACATCCCTGAAATCGGCGAGTTCTTCAATTCCACCGAAGGCATGTTCAGTCTGCTCAACTATGACAAGGGGCCATATCTGAGAGCATGTGTCGGCCACCACGGGTTGATTCTCCGAACGATGCTTCGCAATGTCTATATCCCGGTCCGGATCGACCACGAAACGGGCGACATCTGGCGGGATCCCAAGACAGGCTTTGCCAAGCGAACGCCGTACGAAGAAGGGGGCGAAATCCTGGTCGCTGTACCCAACAAACAGGCGTTCCAGGGGTATTGGAGATCCGAGGCTGCCACCGACAAGAAATTCTGCACCGACGTGTTCAAGAAGGGGGACATTTACTATCGGTCTGGTGATGCGTTGAGGCGTGAATCGGACGGACGATGGCACTTCCTGGACCGCCTGGGCGACACATTCCGGTGGAAGTCAGAGAATGTTTCGACGGCCGAGGTGGCTTTAACGATAGGCCAGTATCCTGGCATTGCCGAAGCCAACGTGTACGGTGTTCTAGTACCGAACCACGAGGGCCGAGCAGGCTGCGCGGCCATCCACCTCGATCCCAATTACACGGGGCCGCCGGTCGACTACAACGACCTGCTGAAGTTCATGCGTGGACGACTGCCCCGGTACGCGGTGCCGGTGTTCCTACGCATCGTCAAGGCGAGCACGCACATCCACAACCACAAGCAGAACAAGGTGCCGTTGCGCAAGGAAGGCGTCGATCCCAACGCGGTCGGCAGGGAAGTGCCCGAGGGCAAGGACGACGTGTTCCTGTGGGTGACGCCCAAGGCGGACGAGTACGTGCCGTTTACGCCACAGGATTGGGAGAAGTTGGTGAGTGGCCATGCCAGGTTATAACGGCGGCGACGTGGATGTTTGGGATTCCCGTCTTGAGCGTGCGACGGTATTATTTGCCTGCAACACGATACATGTAGACCTCGATAGACTGGAGATGGTGGTCGATACAACCCAGTGTCCAAGGAGGACGATATAAAAAAAAGGGGGTGTCAGTACTTGGTACATAAACATGACTTAGTCACCTACCTCCCTACCTTTGTTAGTGGTACATATCTTTTTCTCTGGTTCTCTTTGTACCTTTTGGTCTACATGATGGATCATATGGCACTTTTTAACCTGGTTTTGACTGGTTATGAATTGAGTGATTCATTCTTGGACCATGACCCCCCAAATTTCCTTTGCTCATTGATTTTCCATCCATTCGACGCATTCGACGTCAATACATACATGTACCATGCGAGTATGTATTCGATATTCGATTTCGAACCTTACTTCGACCAATTCATTATATCCTTCAGATCCCCATGATCTCGTAAACCCGTTGGTTCCCCTCAAACACCAATGCCCGTACCAAAATTCGAAACCGACACCAATACTAATAGATAAGTGGATAGATAGATGGATAGGTAGATATATTCCCTCTTCTCCTCGCAAAGACTCTAGATTTGTCGCGTCTAGATGTGTCACTCTGTCGTTCGTCGGTTCATTCGTTCCATTTTGTGCATTCACTCTCTTGTTTGTTTGTTTTGTTAATTCGGCTTTTTCTCCCTCAGATTCGTTTCGTTCATTCGTTTGATCGTTCATTCACTCTTTGCCTCGCTCACCTGTTGGGTTGCTGTCGTCGCCTCGTTCGTCGGGACATTCGTCGGCTCATCCACGATTTCATCCACCTGTCCGCTGATGGATCCGTTGGTCGGTTCGTTCGTCGGCTGGCCTTCGATCCGGTGGACGGTCCAGCCGCCATTGGATCCTCGGACGTATTCGACCATAGGGAACTATTTTTTTCCACCACCTCGTTAGGAGACACGTCGTGTGTAAAAAGAGGAGATCGGCGGCGGCGGCTGCGGCGGAGGAGGAGGAGGCAGAAAAAGGAGAAAAGGGAAAACTCACATAGTGACTGTTCTTCTTCATCGTCACCACCTGCGGCACGCCCTTCAACGTCACCACCCGGAGCCGGAAGCTCGTGTTGTCTTGGATCTTTGCCGTCTCGCGCACAAACGCCGCGAGATTGGGGGTCTTGACGCCGTTGACCTCGGTGATGAATGTCGTCGAGCTCAGTCCGTACTGCTGGGCGGGGGAGCCCGCACGCCGCGCGCTCACGTACACCTGCGAGTGCAGCTTGGTGACCTGTTGGCGCACGGCGTGGTGCGGGCGCTGCAGCACGGCGCCGCAGAAGACCAGGGCGCGCGTCGTGTCGAGTTCCGCCGTCGCCAGCGTCGGCACCCGCAGTGTCATCTCCTCGCCGCGCCGGACGATGGCCGCGTCCAGCCATTCCTGGTCGTACATCATGTCCATGTCGTGTTGGCGCGTGATGACCCGGTCGTTGAGCGAAAGAATGATATCACCGTCCTGGAGGAAATGGTCTTTGGTAGGGCGGTTGTCACATCCATTGGCTTGTTTGGCTTGATCTTGGTCATCTCCTTTTTCCGCTTCATCCTCATCGTCCTCGCCCTCTGGCCGGCACGCCACGTTAGACACTCTAAACAGCTCGTGTCGCGACGGACTCGCCTTGGCCACTTTCTTGATCCACTCCTCCGACACGCCTGCCGTGCGGCACTCGGCCATCGACAGGCCGCTAGCTTCGATGTCGAGGATGCGGGGCTTGGGGAGGAACCCGGCCTTGATCTGGTCCACGACGGGCGTGATCAGGCTCGCGGCCATGCCAAAGTAGTACTCGTTGTCCTTGTCGCCCATGTAGTTGAGCCACAGGGCCTGGACGACGACGCTGTCGGGCTCCATGAGGACGCCGAACGAGCACTTGGACGGCAGCGACGCGTTGACGTAGATGCCCTCGACCATGGTGGCGCGGTACCGCGGACCCCCGCTGTCCTTGGGGATGTACAGATTCGAGACCTCGGACACGGTCGTCCTTGCAAACGACAGGTCGCCGCGGCTGAAGCCGACGAAGAACGTGTCGCTTCCTTGCTTGATCATCTCGGTCGACAGCGTGGCCACCTGCACGGGCGCCTCCACCAGGGCCGGGTCATAGCGAACCACGGTGTAGTTGCGGAGGGGGTCGACAAAGTAGACCTCGCCCTCGATGTTCACCGAGTCCGCCACCGTCACGATGATGCCGCACAGGCTATGGGGCACGACCGCCCGCGACACTATCACAAAACCGGGCGCAATGACGAGGCCAAAACCCGTGCGGCGGATGTGAGGGAACCCGTCGAGATGGAGCGGCATCGCGCACGAGACTTCGACGAATGACCTGACAATGTCGGCCACGGGTGGAGACAAACCTTCGGGTTGGGCAAAGTCTGCAGACCGCACCACGGGCGGGAGGGCCGGGGGCAAGTTGTCAATGACATTGAAATCCCATAGACCTGTCTCGTCGTTGCGCACGGCCATGGTCAGGTCCGGATCCCATCTCTGGTCCACGTAGAAGCTGGCGACCCTCTGCGTGTCCAGGTCGCGGATGGAGCGGTAGGTGACGACGATGCGCGACTTGTCCGGGATTTTCCTGACCACCTCGATGAAAGTGTCCAAGTCGGGCGTTTTCTTGTGGTCGACCGTGTCGACGATCGATCCCCACAAGCTATAGACCTCGCCAAAGGACCCTTCGGCGCTCGAGGTATATAGACCTCGGCACGGAATGCGGTACAGTCGCGCGTACTGGTACGAGAGATTGTGAAAGGTGCCGCCAGCAACAGCTACGAAGCGGTCTGGCGTGATGGCCGTCAGGTCGTGCACGTCTAAAGTGACGGCAAGGTCCTTTCCCTCGCGCTGCAGAAGTATGTCTACTGTCTTGCCGACGCTGGCGTCGAGGATCGCATCGAGGGAGGCGAAAGACGTCAAGAGCTGCTCGTTGACTTTGACCAGGATGTCGCCCACTTGGATCTTGCCATCCGCCGGGCCTTCGGGGAGGACAGTTTCTGCCACGAGCATGTTATTCTGGTGAGGAAAGGTAGCGCGAACGATCGATTCCCATTCCGATGTCAGGCCGAGTCTCCTGCAGTCGTCAAAGGGCTTCCAGGTCCACTGCGTCTGGATCGTGCCTCGAGTTATGGGGATGCCTTTTTGCAGACACTCTAGAGCTCGCAGGGGGCGATCGAGAGGTAAGAAGAAGTCGGTCGTCGCCTTGTCCAACCGACCACCGGCTTGTAAGGCGATGGCATGGCCACTCACGTCGACCACGGGACTTCCGGAGCTGCCTCCAGTGGTTGCCGCGGCGGCCTGGATGTAATTGGTATTGAAGTCGTTATACCCACCCCCATAGAGAGGTGCGTTCCGGTCTAATCGGCTGATGAAGCCTGAATGGATGCTGAGCTTCTCGCCCGCGTCGTTGCCGACGATCCTGATTTCGACTCCGACACGCGCCGACTGAGGGTTCAACTTGAGCGCCTCGAGTTTCATGTACTTGATGGCCTTGGGTTCGAATCTCAGGAAACCAAAGTCATGGACGGGATCACGATAGACGGGATGAACATCGCACTGGGAAGATCAAAGTCAGCCCAATTGTCAAGTTATTGACACGCAAAACTGACCTCCTCGTGGTTGTCAAAGACGCAATAACCGGTAAAAGGGCCAGGACCGACGACATGGCGGTTTGTCAAGATGTATCCCTTTTCTGCATCGACCACGAAGCCTGTGGCTTGACTGGAGGACGATGAATCGGTATCGAAGGGACGCGGGCAGGAGAAGTGGATGGCGACGACGCTTCTGATGGCTTTGTCGAGGGTGGCATGCCACTTTCCAGGATCGCCTGGACTGGGATTGACCATGGAGGGATTGACCAGAGAAAGAGATTTGACTGCATCTTCATCCACGTGGCTGAGGTTGTGACTCGTGGCCACGATGCCACAAGAACCCATGATGAAACCTGTTCGAGGGAGCTGCAAGAAGCCGCAAGAAATCAAAATATCGTCAAGATTCAAGGCTGAAGATCAGGCAAAAAGCGATGTTGAATGAGACCTGGAACTGAGAAACAAAAACCCTCAAAGGGCGCCACGTAGCACGGGTGTCAAGGCGTCAAGGTGTCAGGGGTGTCAAGAGGATGTCGCCTGACAGAAGCTGAGAGGCTGAGAGGCTGAGAAGCTGACGAGGCTTTATATATGTGTGTGAGTGTGAGTGAATGTGAGTGTGTGTATACGTGTATCTCTCTTTCTGTCTCATCCTCAGCCTCTTCAGATGTAGGCAGACGGTCTCCCTAACTAAACCTCCCCCCCACTTTCCCTCTCTCTTCTCGTCTGCATGTGTCTCTCCTAACCGTATCCTAACCCATCCTAGGCTGTTCTTAGGGTCGAACAAGCGATGCCTGTTGTAAACTGTCCGACGCACGAGGCTCTTCTAGTGTAAGCTTCGGGCCGCCAGACGAATACATCGTTGGTTCAGAAACTCCCACAGGACTTTTGATGCTAGCGTGTCAAAAGCCGCCAACTCCGCCCATCCTGGCAGCCATTGCTGGACCCATGCTGGGGCCTTCCGTGGTCCTCATGTGTGTGTGTTTTTCGCGACTCTGCGGCTCATAAGGCAGCCAATCCCGCAATTTGCAAACATGGCAAAGGTGCGCCATTTTTACAAAGAGAGCAAAGCTGCCCCGACGGCCCCCAAATTACTCGGACCTTCATCATAATCAAGTTATGTGTGACCTCGACGACAATCGACAATCCTACAGACCGGCCAAATTGGTTGCAGCGAGTCCGCTACATACATTATTGTTGTTTCTATACCAGATCTCAAGAGGGCACGGCGAGTGGGTATTAATGAATCCGAAAAGGGGGCCCAAGTCATTGTTATACAAGGCTTTGTTGGATACCAAGAGCGCCTCGGCCATGATTCGAGACATATGAATACAAGTACATAACTAGGAAGAACATATCAGATCATCCAGGAGTTATCCCTCTTCCAGCTACTCGAGGTGAACGAATGTAACTTGAATCCTTTGATAGATATCCAAGATTGGGATCTCCCCCTCCATCAATAAAAATACCTCAAAGGCGTCTTGTTCAGAAGAGAAAAATAAAAAGAATGAGAGAGCGGCCATGTGGTGCCGAACAAAGAGGGCCAAACACCGTTTTCTCCGCTACCTTCCGGGGCGGACCATGTTGTGCTTCAAGTAACCAAGTATTCAATTCCAACTCCGTAGTCGATCTGTGGTTCGAAATGCAACCCTCTATCCTGCCCTGATACCTTTGCATTTTCTTTCCAACGACTATTCCGCCCAACGAATCTTCTTTCAACAGACGCCGATATAGTACATTTTCTCATCTTGTTTTCGTGCGGCGCGAGAGATCCTTTTTCAGTGGCTTGGAGAATATGGCCACATAAATGTGCAGAGAGTTGAGTATCTGTGGCTGGCCAAAGCCCAGGGTCTCACTCTAGTACTGCTTTGTGTTGTGTCATGTGCATGTAGTAATAAGTCTAGCAGAGCGATGCCCCCCTAGTCGGACAACCCCACCTTCACCGGCACCACAAGGGTGTCACGTTCTTTCCGCATGGGATCGTGGAAATCGAGGGATGGATCGTCAGGAGTCGTATAAACCGTCTCCAGGGTGTTGTTGGTGTAGATGGAAGATTTGGTCGAGGTACGCACGGGTTGTCGATAGACGCCACCAACGTATCCTCGGTCGATGGCGAGATGCTTCAACGGAGATGGGTCGAAGCGAGCAATAAACACCTTGTCCAAATCGCGACTCTTGGGTTTGGAATACAACTCGTATTCCTCCAGGCAAGCATCCAGGGTCCATCCTGTCACCTTGCGGAATGCGGCCGTGATGCAACCGCTTCGGTGCTTGCCTTTGTTGCAGTGGATCAGCATAGGGTAGTTGGCCCGGTCCAGCATAAGTTCGACCACCTTGCAGACGACCGTATCTGGCGTGTAGACTTCTGGGTCCTTGTTGGCGAGAATGGGGATGGTGTAATGCGTAATGCCATGCGAAGTCATAAACATCTGATAGTCGACGGGGATGGTGCCCGAGACCAGCGTCACAATGGTCTTCAGCCCCAGCTCGGCGAGGGTGTCAAAATGTGCGTACTGGGGATAACTCGATCGGTAGAGCCCAGGGGCAATGACTTGGAAGTTGACAGGGCGTCCCGTGCCATCTGGAGTCGGGGGTTGAGATTGGTCCAGCTGGAGCGTCTTGGAGCTTGATGACACGTCTAGATCGGTCAGGTTCGTGGTACCATCCATCGTGCTCATTTATGAGATTGCCGAGGCCCGCTTCGATAGAAACAAATGACACGGCGATTGTGCAGAGCACGGGGGATGGAGGTTCAGTAACTGTGCGTTTCAAGCGGTCTAAGTGGTGAGGAGTGATGATATGATCGGTCGATCTGAGGAGCTGACGAGGGAGGAAATCGAGGAGAAATACAGAGAAAAAGAGCTTCTAGTGTGGGCTTTTATGACGACCTCAAAAGTTGAAGCACGATGGCTGGTGAAGACATTGTAGAGGTGGTTAGATGGCCATTTTGCAGGGGTCGTGCGCGTGTGCCAACGGTTAGGCCAGGCTAGAGTTCTTGATCAAAGGACGAGGACCTCCAAAACAGCGGTGACTGTGGACGGGGTGATCTGATGCTAAGGACCAAGGTTCCCTGGTCGAATCGGGAGAGGTGGTCGGTCGTGTTATTATGTTGAGCAGACGAGGGAATTATCTGGACGGGAATCGGCCCTGACAAAGAGGCATGGTGATTGGACGCATGGCGACGAGTGTTTCTGAAGAGCTCTGAGTGGGAAGCACCGCAGAGGGAATCGCAGGCGGCATGCTGTGGCAGACTGTTGACTAGTAGGAAAGTAGAGAAGATGAAGGAAAATAAGGATTGGAGAACGAGGGTTGAGGTGTTGGTAGCGAAGGAGAAGAAGGAATGGAGCTCGATCGACGACGAGAGAGTTTTTTTCTTTTTGGGCAAAGGAAAAACAAGCGGCGAGCCAGAAAGTTGAGTTTCTGGCTTGGTAAGTTTGGCAGCCAGCGTCACCAGCGCGACAAGGCGTCAGTTGCTCAGCGTACGAGTAATGTGGGTGCGTGCGGTGAGTGTTCGAGGTCGAGTAGTGGTTTGATTATTGTGGTTCCGCAGGCACGAGAAGGTAAGTGGTAAGGCGAGGAGCCACCAGGGCCACTAGGGAGTCAAGGAGAGGATGGAGAGACACGGGGATAAGAAAGAGGGTCTGCAAGGACAAACTCGGTACTCATACGCATGAGCTCGTTAGGGTTGCAACCAAGGAAGCTGAAGCTAAACGCGGAGAGGCGAAAAAGCCGGGCAGAGCGGAGAAGAAGAATCAAGAAAAGGAGCGAAATTGACACGAGCAACAGAAGAATACGAGACACGGACGCGGTGAATAATTAATGAAATTGAATTGGAAACAAGACATGGATCGAGAGGCGGGCAGGCAAGGCACGTGCGTTGACTTGGCCGTTGAAGTGAGTCACGTGCGGGTCTAGAAGGTACCGTAGAAATAGCCACAGTGAGGGGAGAGCACGTGAGAGATACTTTCCGTATTACTCATCAACTGGTACCTTGGCACATTCCTCACTTGCTTCCTCTGTTGTACTCAACTCCCAAGTTCAGGAGGTTGGAATGGTGCCTACTGGTGCCTAGGTACAGTGTTAGTACCGAGTACACTAATCTCGGATTACTACCATCACTTACAAATAGGTAGGTGCAATTATCAGACTTGGTCACTTGTACCGAGTGCCTCTATCAAGCAGCCTTCTACTCTACTTGGTCCGTACCTCCTTGTACTTGTGATATTACAAACAACCCAGTCCAAACATCTCGGTCGAATTCGTCCATGCTGCCTCACAGACTTCCTCCACCGTAATCCCCTTCACCTGGGCTATCACATGTGCAACCTGCACAATCGTCGCCGACTCGTTACGTCCCTTGACCATCATCCCTTTCTGCCACTTCTCCTTCTTCACTGCCTTGGGGATAGCAGGCCCGTCTTTCAGATACTGCGACGAAGCATGCGACGCGCGGATTTCACACCACGGTCCATCCGTCTCGATCTGAAGCCGCTCCAAAGGCACCGCTTTGACCACCTCAAGATTCTCTGCGGTCTTCATGCTGCAGCCATTGATACCAATGTCAAACCCAAGCTTGACCAGTGCCTCCATTTCCGGTATGGTGCCGGTGAAGCTGTGGACCAGCCCACGCTTGGGGAGTTTGGGTAGGCGTGCGCTGAGAATCCTCTCAAAATCTTCACTGCATGCCCGCGAATGTAGGAATAGTGGAAGCTGCATCTCCTCGGCCAGATCGAGCTGCAGCTCGAAATATTTGAGTTGCACATCTTTGGGAGAGAGAAACAATCGGTCGTAGTCCAGCCCAATTTCTCCAAAGGCTACCGCGTGTCCACTCTCTTTCGCTTCGAGGGTTAGAGCACGAAGTTCTTGAATCAGTGTGCTGGCGCCGCCTTCGTGATTGTCAAAGTCCTGTGTCGAGCATGGATGTACTCCGACGGTCGCGAAACAAGTGCCGGCTTGGAACGTGTTAGAATAGTAGACGATATCCACAGGATCCTCGTTACATACGGTGTTGTTTTGCAAGGTCAACCGCATGCTTGGACTCTGTCAGACTGGAGCCGGTGACCATCAACTTGATACAGCCAACAGCCAGCGCTCGCTGGACAACGTCGTCCAAATCGTCCTCATGTGCTTGCTTCCCGTGGTACACTCCTCGGAAGACTGGATCGCCAAGGTTGATGCCGACCTGAGTCTGTCAGCCTCCAAAGTGGCCAATCCATCTCATCCAGCTACGCACGTCTGCGTACCTCAACGGTTTCGTGTTGTTCGCCATGGTGGCGTGGCTGGCCACTCTTTTCTGCCAGGGACTTCTGTGGGTTCTAGCAAGCCATTCCCCGGACTGCAATACTGTGACAAGACTCAGACACGTCTCAAACTCTGGGCTCAAGGGGTGCGACACGTACCACACAGACGAGACTGGAAAGGAGAGGCCGACAAGGCTGATGGTTTCAGGAGACAAAAGGAGCTACACCTGAAAAAGGGTTGTAGCCGCAATAGCATCAGATTAGCTGCTACGACAAGATCTGACCGATAGTTGGAGTGTTGTGGATGGTCAGAACTCCGGCTGCCAGAAAAAAATGCCAAACTTCTCTCGGCATCAATTCCGCCGAACCCCGACATCCACGTGACCAGCCCCTTCTGTACCCGATCTGCCATCTCTGCTCCAATCCCGTTCGCCTCTTTACGATCAAGATTGTCTCTCTCCGCATCGGCCTTGACACCGACAAGCCTCCCGTCCACAGATATGATCCCGCCAGTGTCGAGCTGGCTAAAATGGTCCCCAACGGTGTCACCGACCGGCAGAATACATGCCAACAATGGAGCAAAGTGCGGGTTCCCATAGTGTGTAGGTGAAACACCTATATAACTAGTATCTCTTGGTGATCTACTGCTGACTCCAACATGGGATCGTATAGTCCTCGAATCCCTAGAAGCGTTCTCACATGGCGCCACGCAGGATCTCAGTGTCAGAGATCTCAGCCCACAGTACAGATACCGACTGCTGGATAGTCGTGGATGATCAAATATGGGACATCACCAAATTCGCCCCCGAACACCCTGGCGGTCCAGGGATAATATACAAGTACGCGGGTCGAGACGCCACTCAAGCATACAATGAGATACACTCTCCAGCGATCATCAGAAATAACCTTCCAGCAGATGCCCTCAAAGGGGTGCTGGACAGGTCAACCATAACGCAAGAATGGTCCAGGCCACCTCCTACAGAGACGCCCAAACCCAAGTCTGCTTCTACCTCAGAAAAGCCACCGTTGGATTCACTAATAAATGCCCACGACTACGAGCTCGCCGCTCGGAACAGCGCCACTGCAAAGACATGGGCTTTCTACTCCTCCGCAGCCAACGATCTGATCACGAAGGACCTCAATGCTAGTCTGTTCAGCCGCGTGCTCTTTCGCCCACGCGTAATGCGTCGCGTGGGCACGATCTGCACTGAGACCAATATCTTGGGCTATCCCGTCTCCTTCCCACTGATGGTCTCTCCCGCCGCAATGGCGCGCTTGATCCACCCAGATGGCGAACTCGCTATTGCACGGGCCGCAAAGGAGAAGACAATCGTTCAATGCATCTCCAACAATGCCAGCTATTCTGCCAGCGAAATCGTCTCCCAACCTGCCGTCTCGGACTATCCATTTTTCTTCCAGCTCTACGTCAACCGGGAGCGTCACAAATCCGAACAGCTCCTTCGCAAGATCCACCAGCACAAGAACATCCGCGCGATATTCGTGACGACTGATGCCGCTGCAGCGGGTAAAAGGGAGGCGGACGAGCGTGTCAAAGCTGATGAAACGATCCAAAACCCAATGATGACCACCAAGGCCAAGAATGACAAGAAAGGAGGCGGGTATGGGCGACTTATGGGCAATTTCATCGACCCAAATCTGAATTGGGATGACATTGCCTGGTTGCGTTCTCAGACCAAATTGCCACTCTTGTTGAAAGGGATCATGTCCGCGGACGATGTGCGGCTGGCCCTGGACTACGGTCTTGAGGGCGTGGTGCTGTCAAACCACGGGGGGAGGAACCTGGACACGTCTCCTCCGGCTCTGCTTGTCCTACTCGAAATCCACGCACGCTACCCAGAAATCATCACGCAGCACCACCCATCTTCCCCCGCCGTACTCGCAGGCCAATCGAGACCTTTCAGCATTTTCGTCGACGGTGGCATCCGGCGCGGCAGCGACATCCTCAAAGTTGTCTGCCTGGGCGCTGTGGCCGCGGGGATTGGGCGACCCGCCCTCTTCGCCACGGGTTACGGTCAGGAAGGTGTCGAGCAGTTGATCGAAATCCTCAAGGATGAGTTCGAAGTCGCCATGCGCAACATCGGCGTCACCAGCCTGCAAGAGTGCGGGCCTCACTACGTCAACACGGGCGCCATTGATCGGTTGGTGGTGAAAAGACGCGACCACCCTTACGCAGTGGCGTGGACGCCAGAGACGCAAAGTGTCGGTAGAAACAGTCTCTTCGGCACAGGCAGAGAGAGCAAGCTGTAGAAATGGCGCCCATATCAATCCCAAATGGGATGTAAGATGAAGGGAGCTTGCTCTGGAAGCACCGCCAGCATAACCAGCAGACGGGCGTCTACCTGGCTCCTGCTATTCCGAGTCCGTCATCTAGACATGATAGAGATAGCGATAGAGATAGAGGTAGAGATAGAGAGACATGCTATCCACCGCCTGGAGAGGAACAACAAGACCTCACGTGCGCACACGACCTGGAGCGTGCGAGCGTGTAGTTAGTTGGTCACGTATTCTCAACGTTTTCTCTCTGACTCCATTCTGGTTGAACAGAGATTCCTTTCTGTATATACAGCCCGACCCGACGTACAGCCAAGGTCGCATGTGGTGCCTATACCCCGTACCTCAACATCCTCGGTACTCATGGTCTGATACGTGATGTATCATATCTAGATTCCTTGTCCGTCTCACTCTGTATGAATGTATGCATGTACCTATGTACAGTAGGGAGGGAGCCCCTGAGTGGTGCGCAATATATCTATGTCATATATCTAGGTACTTGGGAATGTATGTACAGACTAAAAAGACCCGAGGACGTTACTGTACATGTACCAAGGACTGTGTAATCTCGCAGAGGCTGGGGGGGATCTATATCTTCTTCACACATGACCCTCTATCGCTTAGCTATATTCCCTGAACCGACCGGAACTATCGTACTGTGTCTGTCCCCTCCTTTCACAATGGCGGACCGTATCGATCACAATTCCTCAGGCATCGCCTCAGCACCCGGATCACCGCGGCCTGGTCGTTCGGCTCGCGCGAGTGCCACAGCGGCCGCACAGAGTCCCAGATCGCTTCCACTTGCTGGCGCGAACCCGTCGCGTTGGCGTAGGCGCGCAAGAGCCAGCAGATCAACGGGCGAGTGGCTTCCACCTGGTACTGCGAGGTGGATGGCACGGGTGGGACGTCGCGGCCATCTTCACCGTCAGGGTCAGAATGCGAGTCTATCTCGGCTTCGGACTGCGGTGATGTATGGTCTGTGCTAGATCCAGCATTGCTGTGCCATTCTGTGTCTGGAGATTCTGTTGTATGTGGGAGTGTCCGTGGCTCTGGAACGATCTGGATTGTTTCCTTAACAGTCTCTTCAATGCTCTCTTCAGCGCAATATCCACCCTGCACCTCGCTGCTAGACGGATCAATTGCCAGAATCGGCGACGGCAGCACATATTCCCCTTCCTCTTGATCCAACTTGCGCTCTCCTAACGGGTAGTAGGTCTTCTGATCATGTGGTAGGGACTCCCTCGAACCACGAGAGAAGGGATTCCGGATGAGAGGTTCTCGCTTCTCTCTCTCCTCATCGAAGAGCTCGGCGTGGATTCTTTCGATGTGCTTCCTTCGTTCCCTAGGAAACGCAGCGAGGTCAAGAACAAAATCATCCCATTCGCTCATGCGTTTGAGGCCTCTTGGTTCTCCGAGAACCGGCTCTCGGTCTTCAGAGGTTTCGTTGATGATGTCAATCGACGGGAGTGTCTGGTCATCGGATTTTGTCTGCTTGGCTCGTCGGCGGGCAATCTGGCCTTCTCGGATGTCTTTTCGACAAGCTTCCCAGGCCAAATTTAGCCGGTGCAGATTCCAAGTCGCATGCGGGTTTCTTGTGGCGCCATGGAGGGCAAATCCCTTGAACAGCAGCTGGTAGTGAATACTTTGCAATGGTAAACCGAATAGCTCCGACATTTCGTTTATTAACACTGTGATTCGGTTGAGGTTCCCGGAAACGTTTGCGTGGTAAGAGATCATGGTCCGGAAGGTTGTGTGGTCCGGTCTCAACGGCATCAACTCTTGTGCCTCCTTGTGATGCTCCGGCAGAAGGTGTTTCAGTCTACTCGCGAAGAGCAAGACTCTCCTCAAAGAGTTCGCAGCCAGCTTGCGGTGGATCAGTTCCGGACCCGGGCCTGGATATTGTCGGTATGAGGCCACAGTGCCGTCGTTTCGCACTTCTCGACGGGTATTCATATGCAGACTCTTCATCCGCTCGTATATCTGCTCCGCCGCCGCCGGTTCTTGAGCGTTGAACAACGCCGCCATGACGCAATTCAGCACAAGTGTGTCGACGATTTCTCCGGCATCGACAAAATCGCGGTAAGCTTTTCGAACAGCGTCACCATCGCCTCGTAGCCCATGATAATAGATGACGCTGACACGGCCAAGCCTATTGAGATGAAGACCCCGATCGTGCATCTCTTTCAGGATCATCTGAGCCAGGGGGTATTTGTTAGCCCTCACTGCAATGTCAAAAAGAATGTTGAAAGTGATATTGTGAGCCTGGACACCAGCTTCCTGTTCCATCTGCTTCCACAGTCGCAGCGCAGCATTCAGTTCCGATTCCGTCACTTTTGAGAAAGACCTGCCAGCCAGGTAAATAGCAGAGGCCCATTCCGACCTTGCGATTGGTAGATTGGCCTTTTGCATGTCGTCAATTAATGACAGATATCTGATCATTGATTTTTCGCTCTTCTGCCAGGGTGTCGACATGCGTTGCAGAAACAATCTGATAGTCCCCTTGGGGAGGAACGCGACCCCGGGTTGTGGCAGCCGCTTGTAAGCTCTGAATAGTGCTGCATTTGAGGAGTGATTGTCGAGGAGCAGATCGACAAAGGCTTTGAAGGCAGAGATTTCGCGTAGCTGCTTCGACTTGAGCATCTTCTCTACCTCCTTGAGGGGTGACTCGTAGCCTTCATCTTCGGTATAAAACTCCGCATAGGCCTGGGGGGGTGCAAAGTCCTCGGACAGACGGAATGCATAGTCCTCCAGGAATTTCGGCGTCGGAGACGAATGAGGCGATTCCGGGTCGAAACGATTGCTGTGACTGAAGAAGTAGAGATCCACCAAATTCTTGTAGTCGTCCTTGGACAGCACAACGGCTGGTTGGTTCGAGGTCACAGGTGTCACTGCCGTCGCACGCTCGGGTGTGGGAGACTTATTGTGTATTGAGCTGTCCAAGCTGGCCTTGGCCGCAGCCAGCCGTTCCTCGAGATCTCTTACCGACTTCAACAGGGCCATTTGTTCCTCAAGCATGGGCTGTGATAGCTCGGATTCATCCTGTTTTTCTTGTCCATCATTCCCTTGTCTCACTTTCTCGTGCAGAGTGTTCAGATCATCAAAGAAGGCGGCCGGAAGCCGACTGTTTTGTGCAAATTCGAGCGTATTGGAGTCCAAAAAATCCCACGCATTGGTCCTGTCCTTGCGCCGATTTCTAGAGACCCTTGGTTGTTCAGGTTTATCCAATATTGCGACGTGGCGTTCCCTAACGCCGTGGCTTATGCTGCGGTATTGTTCCCTCAACAGATTCTTCCCTTTTCTTCGCCCATCTCCATGCGTCGATCGATTCGGTGTCCGGCAACCGGAGGTCGAAGGTGGTACTGGACGAGACCTCGTCGCGCATTCTCCTGCACGCGACAACCATCCGTAAAAAGTGGCTTCGACAGCTCTAACATTGGACCCTCCATTGGGAGGTCCACTTCGTCCACATATTGTCTGCTTTGAAGCAACGGCTGCGCGTGGCCGGATGCGAGGGGCGAGGAAGTCGCATATCGAGATATTGGAACGTATTATTGGCGTCGCATTCGGAAAGCTGCTGCATCCGAGGAGTTTGGAGGATGAATGCATATGCCTGGGAGCATATTGTCAGCTCTTCATCATCGGACTTAAAAGGGTGTAGACGATCTTCTTCTGGAGGTGCTGGCACAAGAGACAGTCTTGACAAGTCGAAAAAAACGCTCGCGGTTGAGATTCCCAAATTGGGCATCTTGGAAACTGCTCCACTAGCGCGCATTTTCGCCGCAGCTTTTCCTTGTAACGAGTAGTCAATGGAGATTCAAGTTATCCTAATGACCAGGCTGGTCGTCTCGATGAACGTGAGAAAAGACTCACGGTCGCTCCTCTAGATCTGAAATTACCTATGAGAGACTCCTGCCCTGTCTGACTCCCCCAACTCCTTGAGCTCGTCGACACCGATACCTGCCTGTGAAGCTACCCCATCATGGGCCGATTAAACCTCACTGCCATCAACGTCCGCAGGACTGCGCTGGCCAAATTCAAGGCCAAACAGATTCCTTCGGTACCCAACTGGGTGGATATCGTGCATGATATCCCGCCAGCACAAATTCTCGTCCGCCAGCAGCCCGTCAAGCATCCCCTGACCAAAGTCCGCACACGAACTCTCCCGGGCGGAAAAACAGAGCAATATGTGCAAATCATTGAACCTAAGAGGCCGAAGTCGGCGAAGGCTCGTCATGTCTTCAGCCCCAAATCTTTACATTATGAGGAGGATTCATTACGAAGAACTTTCTATGGTGATCATCCCTGGGAGCTGGCGCGGCCTCGAGTGATCGTGGAGACATCAGGAGAGCAGTACAAAAACGCAGACTGGTCAAAAGGCCTGGTCCAACCCGGCATCCCTCTATCTGGCGAATGTGTGGTCCAGCGACAACTCTGGCTACTGGAAAATACCCCCGACATTTCTGTCCCGCAAGCTTACGACATCGCACGAAAAGAATTCTACACCCTGCGCCGACGTCAAGAACGGAGAGATAGGATTGCTGCTGAAGAAGCGAGACATATGGGCGCTCGATTCGGGAAGTCGGCCTTGCAGATTAGCATGGGCATTGAGAATGGGATGTACAATGACTGGGAGAAATGGAGCCGGCAGGTCGTCTTTGAGCAAACATCGAGGGCTGCCGCTTTTGAAGGCACCGTCGCCAGCGCTGAAGAGGAGGCTTTGAAGGACAATGTGCTGGAAGAGAGTACGACCCAGCTGCAGCAGCCAGGTGGTCGTCCGGCGGTCGGAGCTGCTGTGTTTGCTCAACAAGCGCAGTTGGACTCTCGTGTATCGAGACGTTCCGGTTCTCCATAGGAGGTCCGCATTGTATGTGCTCAAGCAGGGGCGGGATTGGGGTTCAGCAAAATGTGTTATAGTATCTCAACTGCGTGGCAAGATGTCTTTCTCCCATCTATGTGTCCATTCGACCCGCTGGCTTCCTGGTCTCGCCTTATTGCAATGGACGTAGTAATGGGAAATCCTGTTCCTATCGATGATGGCCGGCTGACCGACATGAACTCGAGACGAGCACTAGACAAGCGACCGTTACCAGCGACAATATAATCTCTTGTAACGCTCTTCGAAGATGCAACATCTGAAGCCACCCTCTCTACAGGGCCCGAAACAGTTAGTCCCCATAGACTGGAAGGGCAGCAAGACAGAAATACCGGAAACGGACAACACGCCTCTGGTGCCTTCCACTTCAGATGCGACTCGATTCTCTGTCACCATCCACCATCCACCATCCTCGACAAACTGGTCAATTCCCAATCTTCCCCCCTCCTTTTGTAGTCTCTCTCTCGGAACGTCAGGAAAAGGACTATCAAACACTGTGTCTTCTTGTAATCACCATGTCCTTGCCCTTCCCAAACGTCTACCATCTTCGCACTGTCGCTGAAGCTTCATCCAAGGCCTGTTATGTCTGTTACAAACCCTCGGTCAAGGTGCTGATCACTCCTGACAACAAAGTAAGTGCCATTCCTCTCTTCTAGACACGATCAGTCCTTTGAGTCGGGTCCATGATGATCACCCTGCCAACTGGTCTGTGCCAGGATTTCTTCTATGTCTGTGTTTCCCACCTTAGCGACAGAGGGTTTGCTTCCCCCGTTGTAGACGCCGAGGCAGAAGCTGCAAAGAAGAAGAAAGAATGGATGGACAAAGAGATAGAGAAAATCAAGCAGGAGTACGAGGAGAAACAGCGCAAGAAAAAGGCCAAGAAAAAGGCCAAGGACGACGACAAGGACAAAAAGAAGGACGACGACGATGACGGCAAGGCTGAGAAAGAAAGGGATGATAAGGTCAGTCTGATCTCACTAGTACTTGCGGTTACCCTTCGTCCTCGAAGCTGATGTTGCGATCGTCCGTAGATCAAAGCCATACAAGCCGGTTCGAGTCCCAGCGAGAAGTCGGAAGATGTTCCTCGTGTATATGCCCTGCAAAAGTGAGTCATTTCCCCCTTCTTCTCGGTGACCTACCCTCCAGTCTAATGGTGACAGAAATTTCTATCAAATGCGAATTGACCGATTGCGCAATCTAGAGGTTGCAAAACGGAACCAACAGCGCATGAAAGACCCCAGCTTCTTCCCTGCAGCGCCGAAGGGCGACATCTCATGACCCGACGCCAAATGGACGACCTTCTAGACTCGTGGTTTTGTCTCGACGCCTCATTTTTCTTTCCCTGCTCAAGTTGTGAAGATGGTCCACACTGGTGACTCGAAATATGCCGGCTTTGCCGAGAGCTGGAGCTTTGTATCTTGTCCTAAGATGCCCACTCAATGCCCGGCCACTGTTCGTTGTCAACCTTGATGCCAGTGCTGCTGCATCATGCATGATCAGAACCTGCCCATCTGGTGCATAGTTGTCTGCAGTGTGCCGCACAGCTGAAGACCGCTCGGGGTTTAAGGCTGGCTGCCTCTGTCAGCACTAACGTCCAGGTGAGTGGACATCATTTCGCTGGTGGAGTTGATGATGGGTTTGTGTCTGCTTTCATCCATGCTCAGATGTCAGCCCAGAGTCAGCGGTCCTCAATTTCCTTGTCACCGTTCGTGGATCTGGATGGGAATGATGTCAAGGGCGCGCAAATCTTTCAGCCTTTATCGTGACGACACGTGGTTGAGTACAATGAGCGTCGCTCGCAAGGTGCAGGTAAACACGAGCTCGCATGGTGCAGTTCGTGTTCACTCGAGGCGAGGGAATGCAGCCCGGATAGGCCTGCTCGGCTTCAATACGACGATCCCGCTCTTGCATTTGGGCCTCCCGCCGAGCTGTCGCCTCCACCAATCTTGCCCGTTTAGAGGCTCGTTCACCCATTTGCCCTTTCCGGTGAGCGTCGGGTACACAAGTGCGATTAGCAAGGACGAAACCTGGTTTCCTTCCTCATCCAAACTGCTGAGGGCCGAAGACCCCTTGCGTGCCGTCACGAGACTGAAACCCGCATATTTGGACCCCTACACGGACGAAGCGGAATTCTTTGCTTGCCTACTAACAATCTCCTGCTTGGGATAATGCTGGAGATCGGCTTTTGGGTCTTTCCCGACCGAAACTTCTCGACTTCTCACGAGGTATACGAGGCTGAACTTCAGTTACGACTCACAACAGACATTGGTTACCCCGATCCCTAATTATTTAACCTGCGCTTGTACATTTCCGACAGCATGGACTCTCTCTACCGATCTATCATGCTCGCAAATTCTATCGCCGCCAGATTCGTGGATTTAGATAAGCGAACCGTTGGCACGTGGAGTAAACACAACGGAATGTTTCCGATCGTCACTCTTTCGGAAAAAGTCTGGGGCTCCTTTGGTGGTCATCACCTTCCAAAGGGTGGCGTCCAACCCCCCAAACTATTGCATGTCTAACTTTCGGGATGCCCGATGGTTCAAGTCAGCAAGCCCGTTTTGCTACAACAAAGCCGAGCTCAAAAGCACGTTTGAAGACCGTGAAACACGCCAAGCGAAGAACCGTTCTAAGGTAGGCAAAAGGCTGCGCTCGGCACCGAGGACCAGTAATCATTTTCGACAAAGCTTGTGCCGCATGTCAGCACTGAAGGATTTGGCCTGCCTGCCGGATCAACATGAATATGCAACCGAGCTCTGGCCAGAGGATCACTGCTGCGGAGATGATTTACTAAGCTCCTCATGTTGGGATCCAAGAGTCGGCGGCAAATGAGCCCGTATGGATTCCACAAGTGCTCCGTCTGCCATTTTAGCGGATGATGCCCTGTAAGGCTGAAACCTACAAACACACTCTACCGTGAGGTCTCCATTCGCAAGCTGACGTGGAGTACTGGTATATCCCGAGAACGGCGACCACGGTTCGAGTTGCAGGAATTTGTCGAGAGGATTCTCGCCTATGGCTCATGCTCGAAAAGAGGAAACCGTTTGTGCCAGTCAGTTGTGTTGGACCGCGCTGTGGAGGTGCCACTTGCCTTCCATATCCAGATATTGAGGAGCCATGCCACACT